TCAAGCTTTAACAGGTGCAGGTAGTCGCTCATTAGAAGCACCAGGACATGGAATCAGTAGCAGAGCCAGGACAGAGGCACGCCCCAGGCCACCTTCGGAGCCACAGTATCTACAGTGATAAATAGTAGGTATATTATGAACAATGAGCGAAGGAATTGGCAGCTACGCCCCAGGCCAAGGAACCTGTTGCCTGGGGCCTGGCTCCGCCACTGCATGGAATCATTGTTACCGAAATCCATGTAGCTGGAGCCCCCGTCCTCTCGCCCTGCCAGCTCCCGCGAGCAGTACCAGACATAATCATCTGTATGTATCATTCATTCATTCTTCAACTGAATAAAGACAAAATCTCTAGCTCTGCGATATGCCAGCTGATCTGCAAAATCTTCAAGAAAGAAAGAAAAATAACTTATGAATTGTTGCCTTGTTAATTAAAACTCATACATGGGGGAGCAGGGTAGAAAAATAGGGCCCAACACATATCTCACATTTCTTTGCAAAAACACTATGACGATGAAAGACTATGTACCCATCTAAAAAGACTCGGGATCGCTGTGGTGCTTCAGTACGGGACGACACGCTAATCATCATGCGTGCGTGTGCGGCCGGGGCTGCTCGTCTGCGCCTTCTCCTGGATCAATTCGCAGAGGCCACGGGATTGGTGATCAACTTCACCAAAAGCACCTGCGTGCCCGTGCACGTCGACGCCGATGTCGAAAGGGACGTCGTGGCTGCGCTTGGCTGCTCCTCTGGTGTGTTCCCGCAGACCTACCTGGGTCTCCCTTTGTCGTGGGAGAAGCTGCGTTTCGCAGATTTTCTGCCCATGATTGCGAAGGTGGACAAGTACCTCGCGGGGTGGGCGGCGTGCCTGCTCTCGGCTGCCGGTCGGCTCGTCCTCATCAACGCCGTCCTGGACGCCCTCCCCGTCTACGCCATGGGCGCGTTGCTCCTGCCGCCTAAGGTGGTCCATGCCCTCGACGGGCTGCGGCGCTCTTTTCTCTGGTGCGTGGCGGAGCGTGCTTCAGGCGCGCAATGCTTGGTCGCCTAGGAGCGGGTGTGCCGGGCCAAGTCTGAAGGTGGGCTGGGGGTTCGTGACCTTGCTTCTCAGAACGCCAGTCTGCTGCTGAAGATGCTCCACCGCCTGCATGCCTCCCCGGCGTCGCGCTGGGCCTCTTGGGTTTGGGGTGGCGCGGACGGGCTATCACTCTTGGCTCGTCGCGAGCTGATGCTGGGTGAGCATCGGTGCTCTCTGGCTAAGCTTCTTCCTCTCTACCGTCAGCTCACCACGGTGGAGGTGGGGGATGGGCGGACCTGCTCATTCTGGTGGGATCGTTGGCTCCCCTGCGGGGCGCTCGCGGTGGCGTTCCCCGCCCTCTTCTCTCACGCCACCGCGCCAGAGGTCACGGTTCTCCGGGTGCGCGCACGAGGCATCGCGGCCTTCCTGGTCCCCCGGCTCACCGGGGAGGGCGCGCGCGAGCTCGCGGCCGTTTCGGCCCTCCTGGACGCATTCTCCGTCAGGGGCGGCCCTGACCACCGGGTGCTGGCTCGCCTCGTCGTGGGCCCCCGGGGTGCTATGTCGTCGAGCTCCTCGTACAAGCTCCTCCGCTTCGGT